TCATGGGACAAATATTAGTGTAACAGGACAATAAATAAATGAACACTAGAGCAACTGGAGGCTGGCAATTAATAAGTGGACATCAATACACAAAAAAAAGGGGGGGGGGGAGGGGAGCGCACAGTTGAACCCAAGACTTTAGGATGACAGGTAAAAGTATAGCCACTGCCCTGTAGCAGCGCAGTAGGAGGTGGGCGGGTAAAGCATCCATGTATTCATTCTATACAAATCCAAAGTCAGCCCAGTGAGATGAACTATGTTGGCTTCAGTCAGATTTGGATGGTGAAACACTTTAATCTTAGCTCCATTTTCACATAAACGGCAGTTGAAGCAACAAGTTTCACATGAGCTCAGAGAAAGCATACAACTAAACTCAGAGAGAACACAGGGACTCAAGAGAGAACACATGAAATTAGAGAGAACATGTGCAATCAAAGAGAACACAAGAACTCAATGAGAACAGATGCACTCACAGAAAACTAATGAATTCAAGGGGAACACATGAAACTCAGGATAACTCACGGAAAACACATAAACTCACATAATATACATGAGCTCAGGAAGAACACATAAACTCAGAGAAAATACATGAACTCAGAGAGAACCCATGAACTCAGAGTGAACACATGAACTCAGAAAACACACAAACTCAAAGAGAACACATTAACTCAGAAAACTCACAGAAAACACATGAACTCAGAGAGACCACATGAACTCAGAGAGAACACATGTACTCACAGATAACACATAGCAGGGTTTCCATATTTAATATGTATTACAAACTGGATACATCAGTAAGTAATGGCAGCTGACATTTAAAAGACCATATGATCAGAAAGAAATTTTCATTATGTGCCTGACCATATTGGGGAATCAGTCATGTTCTCCACACAGATCAGTTTTCGGAATCAGCTATAATATTTGTTCATTCCACTTTCTCAGACTAGCCAGTATAATTTCTCTTGGTCTGCCTCTGCTACTGCTGTTCTCTCCAGCCATCAGGATGTTCTCTGGTGCATCTCCTCTTGTGACATGAACAAAAACACTGATCTTTCTTTCTTATAGGTTTATACAACTGATCAACATCATGGCACAAGTGTAGTAGCCTAAAAGTGCTCCATTCTACTTCTAACTCAAGCCTGTCCAAAGAAGCTCAGCACAGTGCAGGAAATCCGTAGCACTGGCGAGGATCCTGAAATACTTTGGGTAGATTTTAAACTCCAAATTTGGCCCAGGCAGCGCCGTTAGGCTACTCTTTTCGATTTCCAGCTGCCAAAGGATTTTTTGTTGACGTGAGCAACAATACAGACGGGCATCCGATCTTACCACCCAGAGACCAGGGGAAATTACTAGAAGTTTACGTGAAAAAATCCCAGCCTTCACAGTAGGGACCTCCTGCACTTGAGGCAGAGGCCATGCTTCAAGACCACTCAGCCTCCTATCTCTCTCTTTCTTATAGTTGCATATAGTACTATACCTTCATTACCATTTTCTAGATGATTACGGTTAGTTACTCCATAATATCTTTTTAACAACAAACAGAAAAATCAACAACACTGAACACATACAGAGGTAACATAAATACAATTACTTCAGTTACACAGCAGACAGAACAATCAGGAAACAGGGCTAAGTTCATATTTCCAGTGATACTTTGCCACAGGAGAGATGACACTGGAATTGTTAACAATAATACAGGAGAGATGATATGTGAAATGTTAATAATGGCTTTCATCCTCCCAGATTAGTGGGGAAATGTTAACACTGGCTTTCATCCTTCCAGATTGGTGGGAAAATGTTATTAATGGCTTTCATTCACACAGATTTGATGGGAAATGTTAACACTGTCTTTCATTCTTCTGGACAAGTGGGGACATGTTAACATTGGCCATTTTTATCCTCCAGGATGTGTGGGGGGAAATGTTAACACTGGCTCTCAGTCATGCCTTTGTTAACTTGGCCACAAACGGTTGGATTCTGCAGCTATTTTTAAATGGGATGTGTTAGCCATTTGTTTGTGTGGGAAGAGTTAAGTACTTTTTAACAGGATGTGTTAGTTACTTTTCAATGGAATGAATTAGCAACTTTTCAATGGGAAAAGTTAGCTACTTTTCAATGGAGTGGGTCAACCAATCTCAGGCCAATCCTCTGTGATCCCCTCTTGCGACAAGCGTTGTAGGTTACATTGTTACTTACTATAGTTTCCTTCTCTAATAGGCCCTGGTAACACACAGGACCCACACAGCTGTACTAGTAACACACAGGACCCACACAGCTGAACTGTTAACACACAGGACCCACACAGCTGTACTGGTAACACACAGGACCCACACAGCTGTACTGTTAACACACAGGACCCACACAGCTGTACTGGTAAAACACAGGACCCACACGGTTGTACTGGTAACACACGGGACCCACACAGTTGTATAGGTAAGAACAACCAATCCTGTCAACTGTTGGTGACTGAAACCTGGACCATAATTCCAGCAAGCTGGTGCAGTAAAAGATCTGTAGGAAGGCCAAGGCTACCCTATAAGGACATATTCAAATGTGATCTGAAAGATACCAACACTGACACAAACAATTGGGAGAGATCAGCTGCAGACAGACTCCCATGAAGGCAGACAGTGAAAGAGGGACTATTGCACTTTGCGAGAGGCCAAACGCAGCAAGCTACAGAGTGGAGACACGTTAGAGACAATCAGCCTCAGTGTAATAGAGTATTGATGTTTTTATCTAGACTATGTGATCAGAGACCGCCACTTCCACACTGGACTTCCCAGTTACAGCAGACACTGTTCCTAAAACCAGGAGCACACTCCAGCACCCTAGGCACTGATGACTGCCTACAATGCAGCAAAAATAATAATGCTACCTCAGCTTCTGTATCTTTACAATAACAACAAATCTTGTATTGTACAATTACAGAGGAAAAACAAACAACCAGCCAGCAAATTAGTGTCACAACCATCACTTGCAAACACTATTTACATTGGACAACGGTGAATTAAGTAAAAATAACATGTAAAATATAAAAGTATTTTCATACCCGCTTTTAAAGAGATGGAAATAGTGTGTGAACAGCCCCACCGCTCATGGATGTTCTGATGCTATTTGTGGCAAATACTCTTCCATAAAGACAGTTTTCAAGAGAGGTAAGTAATCCTTTTCCACACATCCAGGTGTATTGGGCATAAAGGCTAGACCAATCGGTACTTGGTGGGTGATGTGGTTAACATTATACCAGCCATATTTACTTACCAGATCTTTACCTCATATTAAAGGGTTGGTCTACCTGGCAGCCAAAGTCATCTTTTGTCAACGTCCTGCTCCATCAGGACCTGAACCCAGGACCTTCGGATCCACAGGAGAGCATCTAGCCAATACACCACGACAGCTTTTATAGGGTATACTGCATCTAAAGTGACAGTACAGACCGATAACTTGTGTTCAAGAACCAAAGAAAACAGTCATAAGCACTAGATTCATCACTATAAAATGGTAGGCTCTCTTGACATATCAGATAAGGAGGTCTAATTTTAAAGATACAGAAAGGTAAAACTGATGAAAACAAAATAGACAACTACACCACAAAGGCGTGTCCAGACTGGAGGTAAAATGAACTGGTGAAAACAAAACAAAAAGGGAACAAAAGGAGTGATATAATTAAATGACTTCAATGTCATACTTTGGAATGATTATTCCTATCATTAGAACTGGGGGAAAGGGGGGGATGGGGGGGGGGGGGGGAAGGGGGAAGACTGACATGGCGTGGCAAGACTTGAAAAGAGGACAGTGAAATTTTATGATCAAATGACTACAACACCTAACTTCTGATTAATTATCTTGAAGATTAAGAGAGAGGAAACAACAGAGTGACATAACAATACTGAAATACATTAGTCTTTGATCTCACTAACCTGGTTATGAGAAAATCAAACAGTGAAGTGCTATTACCAAATGACTACACCACCAAACTAATACTTATGTCTAATGTATATATAACACTGTTTTACTAATTCTCATGAACTGTCAGGGAAGGGTCTGTTGCAATATTCAAATGCTATACATCAACAAGTCAGGCATGATTAGAAATACATCAACTGTTCATACAGTGACCTTATCAACTTACACTAACAAGAAACAGTTTTTAATAAATTCTTCTAAATTTCTGCCAGGAATAAAAAAAAAAACTGTCACATATTAAAAGTTTGAAGGCAATTTACAAGAAATGCCATATTAGCCAGAAGTGAAACTGCCAACACCTTTGAGCCCACACATTTTAAAATCATTTGTCGTAATGATCTCAACTTTCATTTTTATATTTTGTCATTTCATGGTCAATCAACCCGTCTACCCTCTTTCTTTCCCCAGGGGCATGAAAATGATCCTTAACTTTACAACTAGTATCACGCCCAATGTATCGTTTAATATCATTTCTTGACCACATTCACTTGGTTACATTAAGTACCCAATAAAAGCTTTTATTGTAATTGTTAAATTTGCTTTCTCTTCCATTTTCATCATTTCTGCCAAAGACAGAGGAGAAAAACGGTTCAACCCCTGCTTCTTTCTCCTGTATCACATGATACTGCCCCCATGATTTGGGTGCATCTGTTTTATTCTTCTGAAGAGACTGTTTTCATCAGATTTAAAAAAAAAATTTATATAAATATATAAAACTGAAAACATTTGTTCTTATGGACATACACATTTATTTGACATACAGACAAGAAATATATTTACTTCAGGACTAGACATTTAGACAGTCTCTGGCAACACTATACCCAAATGTGAACAATTATCTTTTCAATGTTCAGATTTTCATTTTGCACAAATTCAAGGGTGATTACTCCTGTTTCATAGTTACATTACAGCTTGCAGTTTCCTCACAAGAGGTCTACTTTTGTTTCCCTGCAAGCTGAAACTGGCAGTGGCCTGGAGCAACCCTAGTGTTACCAAGATTATGCACATCCAGTGATATGAGACTGTCATGTTTATGGCAGTCCTGGTACAGAGTCAAGTCGTGAGAGGTACCTGAAATTAACCCACAATTAAACTTCATTAATGAATGTAAAAGTACAAATTAAAAGCACTGCTATACTATTTCTGCTGTTTGGCCATGATATATAAGGTAGTGTTGTCAGTTCCCTTTGCTTTTCTTTCCCAGACAGTTGTGGAAATTATCTGACATTTTTAGCAGAGTCAGGACACTGTCTGCCGTACTCTGGATTTTACTGTAAATGGTTAAGAGTGTCCTCTGTTCTTTAAACAAATCTGCTATTGTTGTAGGCTTTTGTTTTATATTTGTTGGATGTGTATTTATGTCATAACTTTTTAGGTATCTCCAGTTTGTTTCTGTCAGCTCTGCCCTTTCTTGGTCGATAAAAACTAAGCAGTCTTTCAATAAAGTCATCTGATTTTACTTATTGAAATGTGTGCTGGAAATCTATCTGGGAGGAAAGGTGGTATGGGACTGACAACATCAACCAACAAGTAAAAAAAAAAAAATTCCAAAAGGGTGCCGCTGTGGCGTAGTTGGATCTGAAGGTCATGGGTTCAAATCTGCACTAAGCCAAATTTTTTCAAAACATGATCTTGGCTCCCAGGCTGGCCCAGCCTTAAATGGGTATGAGGTAAAGTCATGGAAAGTAAAGACAGCCGACATAATGTTGATCACATCACCAAACGAGTGCCGACTAGTCTAACATATACAGGTCTAGCACTATATGTCTGGGGCTGCCATAGTGTAGTGGCTAGATGCTTGCCTGTTGATCGGAAGCTCATGGGTTTGCATCCTGATAGAGTCAGACGTTTTTTTAAAAATGACCATGGCTCCCAGGTCGACCCAGCCTTACACAGGTACCAGGTACAGTTCTGGGAAGTAAAGGTGGCAGGCGTGATGTTGACCACATCATCCACTGAGTGCTGACTGGTCTACAAAATACAGCTCTAGCCATATATGCCCATACCCCTGAAGGTGCCGAAAAGGGTCCTTTTACTATATGTCCAGTGTGTCTAATGGTGTGCAAACAAATCTTGTACTGTTTTCTAACACCCCAAGATGACACGGCAGTAGAGTCATGTTTTTAACACTGATTATTTATAATACTTTTACATGACCAAAAATAAAAGACGACCAGGCCTAGCCAGCAACTAGCGCACTGAAGGCAGAGAAATAAACGCCTTGAATAAACATTTATTCTCTCTTTCTTCTGACCTCGTAATGTAACACAGGACCTCAAGCAAATCACACCCAGCACTATTCATGAGTAGACAGATTCTGCAGCAGTTTTATCCTGACCTGACTCAAGCCAACCTGACTAGTTGCAACCTACAACATGCCCAGTTATGTTACTGTGCTTCCCCGAAAATAAGACCAGGTCTTATACTAATTTCTGAACAAAACTCTACATTCAGTCATGTATAAAATTCTACATTAATTCAAATACACTCATGGCATCTTCTTCTGGTTCATCGTCATAACTCCTCAAATCCAGAATTTTGGTCTGAATATCCTGCCACTGGATTTCCTGTTGAATCAATAACTCCAATCTCTTGTGTCCAGCTATTAGGCTTTCTTTAAATTAGCATTTCTTGTCCGTGTAGTGCACTGGTAATAGCTGTCAGTGATTTTTACCCCTTTCATTCTTCAACGTCATGATCTTGTGCAAACCACTCTTCAGTTTCCATGATGATGTCTCTCAAATCATTTTCACTGTAGTTGTTATACATGCACAAATGTTCCTTGAATTATGAACCACATCCCTTCTTTATCAAGTATGCAAAAGTGCAAATAAGATTCTCATTTTAGCTGATGATTTTAAGTAGGACTTATTTTTTGGTAGGGCTTATTTAAAAGCATCTTGAAAAACTGTCTCAATTCTGAGGAAACAAAAATAGTTAAAAACCTTGCTAACATGTGCACTGAAAACAGGTGAAGAAATCGAAACCAACTGAAACTCACGAGCTGTTATGATTTTCTACTCTTCCTCTGACAATGCCGGATCCAAGGAAAAGGCAGAGCTCAATGATGCAGTGTTGGGCAGCAGCTGACGTTAGAACAACTTCACTGTCCTGGGACATCAAGGGAAACATTTTATAAGAGCTGCTTAATCAATCAAATTCAGAGCAAACATTAGGTCTGAAATAGCAACTATTATTTAAAAAAAAAAATAATACTGGTAGAAATTAATATACAATAATTGATTATGTAGTGCATTTAACAGTATTAATTTTATATATTTATTTTGCTTTTTCTGATTCACTGGAACTTTAGTAATATCTTCCCCAAGTCATAGTATTAGTATTCTGTCATACCATTTAACTGCTTCTTTTCTTAACAGGGGGGGAAAAAACAGTGTTTTTCTCAAAAGTTAGAAACAGAACATTTGTATCATTTGTCGATAAGCAGGTGCTCTTTTATTCATTGGTCAGTATCTATCTCATGACTATGTTTCAATGCATGCAATTATGTGTGGTGCGAGACAAACAGGTTTTAAATGTACACTCCTTTTAGTTTATTAGTATTCATATATTCACAAAGTTTTAGACATTTTCCATATTTCTACAGTACTGATGTATACATTTCAGTCACATAAAATACACAGAAAGAAAGGATTAAAATGCCCACATCTGAAAATGCAAACAACTAAAAAAAAAAAACTCAAATTACAAGTCACTTCCTGTTTTAACGTTTCAGGTGTTAAGGGATTTACTCTTGATAGTGTTGTAGAGTTCTCTGATGTTAACCTTCCAATTTGTTCTTGGTCATCTCAACCACACACTCTTGACACTGTTGTAGAGTTCTCTGATGTTAACCTTCCAATTTGTTCTTGGTCATCTCAACCACAGACACTTGACACTGTTGTAGAGTTTCTCTGATATAAACTTTCCATTTTGTTCTTGGTCATCCCAACCACAGACACTTGACACTGTTGTAGAGTTTCTCTGATATAAACTTTCCATTTTGTTCTTGGTCATCCCAACCACAAACACTTGACACTGTTGTAGAGTTTCTCTGATATAAACTTTCCATTTTGTTCTTGTCACCCCAACCACAGACACTTGACACTGTTGTAGAGTTTCTCTGATATAAACTTTCCATTTTGTTCTTGGTCACCCCAACCACAGACACTTGACACTGTTGTAGAGTTTCTCTGATGTTAACCTTCTAATTTGTTCTTGGTCTACCTCAGACTCCATATCATCCGCCCACCCCTTTTCAAATCATGAAATGTATCAATGTAAACAAGAAGTGTAGCAAGTCCGCTTCCCAATAAAGTACAATTAAGAGCGAAAACAAAAATGAATGTTGTGGCTAGAAACTCTTCATCAGTACACAATACAAATTGACAGTGATCTCACAGCATGTTAAACAATGTGGCTTCAATTTTACTGCCTTTCTGAGACTCTAATATAACATTAATACAGTATATTTTTGGTGTACTTACTAGAGCTTCAAAAATAACATCAAGAAACATCTCAAGGTACATTTTGAAAGGTCGCTTGCCGAGTCCCTTTGCTAGATTGGGAAGCTGCAAGAAAGGAAGATGCAAACATAGATACATTTATATATGCATAACATATCACTGTTATCAAGAAATAAATAAAAAAAGATTCTGACCTTCTAGGAGAATGAAACATGATCAACTACCGATGAGAGGATTCTCTCTCTCTCTCTCTCTCACATATGGCATAACGATTTTTAATAACTGTCATTGGTTCTCAGGTTGATGCAGCCTAAAATGGGCACCAGTAAATGCCCTTGGAAGTGAAGATGGCTGGCATGATGTTCTTTTAGCAGAAAGACCAAGAAAGCAATAGACAGAAGAGAACCCAAACAAACATGGATACAAAAACAACTGTGACCACATAGCTGGTCTTACTAGCTTAGCTTCCCTACAGCCATATGCTAATGGCAAGGTTATTTTTTCAATGTCCCTAGTGCACGGAGCTTGGGTTTTATCAGCAGTTTATGGTAATTAATGAGTTTAAAACAAAGCCAACAATTTTAATCATGGATACACTCAGCATAATCTATTGCTTTTAAAGAAACAATGAAACAAAGTCAACAATTTTAATCATGGATACTCAGCATAAACTATTGCTTTTAAAGAAACAATGAAAAAGCCAACAATATTAATCATGGATACACTCAGCATAAACTATTGCTTTTAAAGAAACAATGAAACAAAGCCAACAATATTAATCATGGATACACTCAGTATAAACTATTGCTTTTAAAGAAACAATGAAACAAAGCTATTACCTGCTTACACACAGTTTCTACAAAGTTGGGGTAATGTGTATAGGTTTTGATCTTGCATGCCTCCGCCATAACTGGAATCAGCTTGCTGACTTGGGCACTCACTGAGGGCACATGACTAAGTTCAGCCAGGAGATTGACACATCTGAAAATAGAAGGCACTTTACTACCAAGTGTTCTTGGTTTCCTCCAATTTCTGGAAGTCTCTGTGGTTCTGGTTATGCCACTCGTTGTGTCACCTGAAAGCTATAGGTTCACTTGATGGACTTTATTGGTTTAAGAGTGCGGTTTTTACCTAAATCCTTAATATTGTCTCTGGAGCTACAGAGTTCAAATTTTGTGTGATGCTCTCAGCACGCAGCTAGCCTTTCTGCAGAGACAGACCAAATCAGAGAGGATAAAATCTATTATAATGAAGTTGATCTGTTCTGACTCTAAATGTTTCTCATTTTCACTTCTTTCTCTCATTCTCCATAACTGACAATCAATATATATGCATTTGTTCCTCATTTTTTTAATGTAATTCTTTTTTTTTAATGATTGTGAGATTTTTTAAATTTTTTGTTTGTAACTTCAATTAAACTAAAGTATTTGATAAAAAACAAAAACAAAAAGAAAACGGTACTCAGGAATATGTTTTAGAATGACTCCCCATTATTTATCAATGGTAAAGTATAGAAAAGTATATACACAGAGCACATACCCATCTGCAAGCTCCCATGGTTCTGAAGGTTTTCTGAACTTATGGTCCATACATCCTCCACCCCTCCCCATCTTTGGTGCCAATGATCCACAGGAATACATCTAAAATGAAAGAGTGGTTTTAATTAGCAACTTTACATCAATGTAGCCACAATGCGGATGCTGGTGAACTGTTGGGTCTTCGGTTATTGTTGGCCATAGTTTAACGAGGTGGACCATCAGTTCCACTGCTTGCTGGTTTCTCCCTAGAACATTCAGAAAATTATCTACACCTTCTTCTTTTATGTTCCCTCATGAGGGCAGCTGGCACATTGTATTGTGATTTACAGCTAGGCTGTGACATCTGTACCTTTCAGCCCAACACACCAGATTCCAGCAAATCCTTAATTAGCCAATTTTTTTATGACCTACTTGTTAAGGAGCAGTGAGTGTATTCTTTTTCCTCCAAACAATAGGGCCCCCCGAAACCCACACAAGGAATTCAGAACCAAATTTAATGAGGCAGGCTCCAGTACTTTACAAGGTAGGAAAAAGAAATGACACTGCAGCGTATGAACCAGGACAATTGTTTTGGTAAGAACGTGTACTAACAAAAAATATATTGCTTCTGTATTTCCTGTACAATTTGAAATCCTTTTTTCTTAAAAAAAAAAAAACTGTAATTATTATAAATGGCAGCAGTTTTGTGCTCCACATTTTCAAGCCAAATACCTTCCTTCGTTCTATCCCTTCAGTTATAGTAAATTAGACAAAAACATCCTTATCTGATATCAACAAACGGCTGCAAACATTAGAAAAATGGGCTATCCTCAGAAAACCGGCCACATATTATGGTGGCCAAAAATACACCCTGACAGGGCCTCACATGTAAATTGCGGACTTCTGGCGACTTAAATTGCGGACTTCCGACGACTACTGCCACCGCCGAGAGCGCCTCGGAGCGGGGATAAGCTAGATGGCTGGGAATCACGAGCAGCAGCTTTCGCATCTCCTGCAGCTTTGCTCGTGAGTCCCAGCCATATAGTTTAGCACTCCTCCGCCGTGGCGATAGTCGCGGAAGTCCGCAATTTAAGAAGCCGGAAGTCCGCAATTTACCTGTGACTGGTGCCCTGTTTTTGGCCGCCATAAATGTGGCTGTTATTCGGAGGACAGCCGAAAAATGAGATGCAGACAGTCAACATGTTTTGTTCAAGGACAAAAGCTGGAACATTTAGTGATAACTGGCAAAATTGTTGGGAAAAGAGTGAGATGAGGACCAACAAACTACCTAGATGATTTGGTCATGTGATTCAGGTTGGCAAGAATAAAGACCTGATGTGTAATTCTGGGGAGATACCAAACTGTTTACGGGTATACCGGCTAGGTACATGACAATGATCATCAATATCCTAGTAGTAATATAGCCAAAATTAACTTTAAAGGTAAGGTAAAGTCAGAAGATGTGAACCAGCGTCATTGCACACGGTTATAAACCATAAGTGCTCTGCCACCAGTACGGACTGCTGATAAGAAATTGTCCGCCTGTGTTGCTGTCCGCACGTAACTCTGTAGCTACAGCGACATTCCTCCATTTACCCCAGAGTGTCACTGGTACCCATTTCCTAGAGGCTGGGTGAACCCCTGGAACTGCCCGGTTTCGAACCGACCGTGGGCTGTAACTTTCTAAGGTGCTAATTATTTAAAACACTGTAGAAGAGAACAGTCCATTTCGAAACATGTACCGTTTGATTTGTATGCAGGTCCATATCATTGTCTCGCAGCTGTTTGACCACACCAAAGACAGCTGGAGTGTTCTCAAGTCCGCCATACTTCTCTGACGTTGCTGGCTGCTCTTTGATCTTTTCAAAACCTTCCTTGATTTTGGAGAAAACCACCTCCAC